CGTCCCAAGCTGATTTGGGCTTAATACGCGGCTGGGCCTGTTAACTGTGGGCTTAATAACCGGCGACTACTGTATTCTGCGCTAACGCACTTTTACTCTACGCGTTTATGGTAAATGAAAATTTACAGATCGTCTGAAAAGATGCTGCACCTCTCTTAGACCACAGAAAGACTGCAGAGTGAATAAGTGTTTCTTTAAAAAACCGTACCTCTAACACACTTTTTTGTCTAACTCCTGTAAGTCCAACTGCTCTTCGTTAATTCATAGAGGTAGACAGTGCGCCATCTTCTGTAAAAAAGTAGGACGACTACCATTTGGGAATTCTATCTTGGAGAAGCTTAAGTCGTATCGAGCTCCCAACTACCGACTTGCTTTGACTTGCCTTCGTTCCCCTGGAGCCAGTTTTCCTTTGCGTTTATTGTCTTCTCTACCGAATATCCTAATCTCCTATCAGTTTACTTCTGTTTTTTGCATTTCACAGAGGGCAGTATGGTACTGCCTAATGCAAATCTTCTGCGTGACCTGCGGCTTCTATTACCTCGGCCCTGGATACACCATTCACAACTATCCTCGCTGGTAATCAGTAGGCCGCGTTGTCGTCTGCACACCTCGTTGCCCTCCTCATCCTCATCCCCTGCCTCCCTGCGTACCTTTAAGCACCCAGAAAAAACCCCGCGCCGCGACCAACAGAAGACGAGGTCGGCCCAGCCCGCGGCCGCCAGTGGTGCTCCCAGTAACCATCTGTCTGCTGAGGAACTAAAATGCCTACAGATGGAGTTGGGTGATCCCGAGTACTGGCAACTTATCTACCGTCTGAAAGCAATGCCTTTTGTTCAGGTGAAACAACTGATAGGTTTACAATTAGTTGAGAATCGTCCTTTAAATTCCGGTAAATTGTCGACCATTGTTAATTGGATAAGGAAGAAGGATTTTCGGGCACCGCATCCGTTTGTTGATTATCCTGAGATTTCGAACTCTTCGAGGAGTCCATCATCAGAGATAAGAAACAGCAACAAAAAAGAGGCTAAGTATAGCGGGTAACAGCGGGTGCAAACCACTGAATTATCAGTGACTTAATAAACAAACTGTTTCGGCGCTCGACCAGCCTTCTCCGTTACACATAACAATACCTGAAATGCGAACCTTCGCGTTCATGCGCTTATGTTTACTTTTTGAAGTAACTCTTACCGGTTTATGCCTTTAACTCATACAACAGTTTTGTTTTATGCAGGACTTTTATTGCATATGTGTTTTTAAGTTTTCCATTGTCTCTTGCTCGTGGTTAGTGTGCACACACGTTTTTACAACTTACTACTTCACTTCTGTATATTGTAAATATTTGGGCGGGGTT